ATCATTACATAAAATTAAACATAGATAAATACTTATTCATCCCACAAAATTTCTTTTAAATAAATTGATTATTTCTTATAGAAAAGTAACCAAGAACAAATTTCCGGGATTTCAAATGGAAACAATAATACTCAATAAACTTATCATAACAAATGTGTATTGAAATTGAAATGAACTTTAGTATCAATTTGTGTACAGAAAAAGTGTCGGCTGAGCCGCTATTTGGGTGTCCTATTTCTGATCGCATTAATGGCCATTAGTATAGCGTTTGTGGCGTTCGCTATATTTTACGACGAGATCATCGATAGTAAGACAGAGATGAAAATAAAACAAAACGTGTTCACAATTAATATGTAAAATAATTTTATAACAATTCTTTAGGTAAAGTATCCGATGGACACAGGTTTGCGGACATTATTACCGATCAAAAGCCAATCGCATTGTCGCCTAAACGGGGCATCACTTTCACTGACTATATGTCGGGTGAATTAAGTGACCGCCGCTTTAATGGCACCTGGATTTCCGACAATGAATTACTTCATTACGACTCTCACAACAATTTATGAATTTTTAATGTATTGGCTTTGACTACAGATATTATCATACAAAACAAAACCATAGTTAGTATGCATTCACTTAATGGTCACATTATATCTCATTTACAGTTATTTACATTACTTTTAATTAATAGTTTAATAAGTGATAAAATATTAATTGAATGATTTGTCACAATAGGGACGCTTACGACTAAAGGGACTCTCATTATCTCCGGATCGCAAATATTTCCTCTTTAAACAAGAGTTTAAATTAATTTATAGCTATTGTTCGGTCGGAAAGTATAGGATTTACTCAATTAATGACAAGTTTGTTCAATATTGATATTAAACTCTTGAGAGAGAGAGAGAGAGAGAGAGAGAGAGAGAGAGAGAGAGATTTGTGTCATTATTTATAAATATTTATTATAAATTCATAATTTTCAATAGCGCTTATATATTTTAATTTATTATTAAAAGTAATTTATTTAAAATTAGTAGCAATTAAAATGCTAGATAATAAAAATGAATAATTTTATATAAATAACGCAATTTATTGCCAGCATTAGTGCCCACACAACAGCCGAACGACACGTATATAACTTATGCCGATTGGGGAACAATTGGGTCGCAAATTATTTTTTCCTACAAAAATGACATTTACTATAAATCCGATGCAAACGCAGCGCCGATAAGACTCACAAATACGGGCAAAGATATGGTTATATATAACGGAATACCCGATTGGCTGTACAGACGAGAGATATACTCAAACTCGCCGAAAATGTTTTGGTTATCACCGGTGGGAACAAAGTTGGTCTACACGACCATCGATGACAGCGGTGTCGACTTAATGACATGGCCTTTCTATAGCACAGGCAAATTGGCCCAGGGTTATCATAATCAATATCCTAAAATTGAAATGGTCAGGTACCCGAAAGTGGGCCGACCCAACCCTACGATTGCTCTTTATTACATCGATTTGACTCAATTGCGTGATTATAACGACTCGATCGGTAAACTGACAGTTCATTTAGAGCCACCCAAAGTTATCACAGATTATGGGTTTGTATTGTTTAAAACCGAGTAAAATATATTTACAAAGTTTGCATTATTTATTAATAGAGATCATTATATGACAACATTGAAGTGAGTCGATGACCATGTTGTTTGTGCGAATTGGATGAACCGTGCTCAAAATGTGTCGGTTATGACCTGTTATAGTAGTCGAGCCAATTGGCGGCCAATATCTGTAAAATCAACGCATCAATTGTGTCACAAAATCAAATGATAAACTAAATACTAGTTTGAAATGTTTACAGAATTTTAAACTACAATCGAGTAATGGATGGCTAGACTTGCGTACGGCTCCTGTCGTCACACCAGACGGCGAGTCATATCTTATAAAAGTACCCAAAATGAGTGACAACGGGAAGGATGTGTTTCCACACATCGCCAAAGTGTCCGTTTCGGTCAGTCATTCAATACTATTCTTGTAATGCAATACACAATACAAACTGAATTAAACATTTGTGTCAATCAAATAGTCGGCCGAATCATCGTTTTTAACGTCCGGTGTATTTGAAGTGAAAGATATACTAAACGTAAACACAGAAAGTGATAAAATGTAAGAAAACAAAACTCGGTTTACAATTGTCTAATAAAAGCCATATATATTATGGGCAAAATTGGCAGATATTTTAGGGCAACGTTTCCTTCAAATCCCGGAGAAAAGCATTTAATGAGCGCTCCGTTAACCCAGTCGTCGGCGGCGTCGAAGACAGAGCCCGTGTGTCACACGTGTCTTATCAACACATATAACACCGATAGGGATAACACATGTCTGGTCTCTGACGCCACGTTCAGCGAAGGGGCCAAACATTATATCCATCACTGTTTAGGACCTAATATTCCCCAATCGGTGATCAGGCGGACAGTCGACGACCGCTTACTCTATACACTCGAAGACAATAAAAGCCTGAAGAATAAACTTCAAGACCTATTGGTTCCCAAAACTATTTTCATGAAGGTTCCGATCGGACGCTATCGTATGTAACTTATTGTTTACTTATAAAAAATATTGTCATATATTGGTAACATTTGATGACTCATTTAATATGCAGACTCATCAAAATTATTAATTATTCAAGGAGTGTTAAAACATTTACTATTCAGATAACTCTAAACACCTTTAAATGAACATTTTAGAGAATTTGCCCGTTTTTAGCTCTAATTAGTTATATATTGAATACATATTATCCGAACACAGAGATCGATGTCCAGCTTTTTGTGCCGCAATATTTTGATAGCAAAGCGCAGCAAAAATATGCATTAGTTTTTCACGTTTACGGCGGACCCGGAGCTGAGAGCCAATGCGTTTCGCACAAATACTTTTACAATCAATTCGGCGCTTATTTGGTCTCTAATAAAAACGTAATCTATGCCTATCTGGACAGCAGAGGTGCCCCAAATCGCGGCCAGCAATTCATGTTTGAAATCTATCGCCGATTGGGAACCGTTGAGGTCGAGGACACTATAGCTGTGGCCCGGTTTGTACGGCTCCGGACATTATTTGCAAATATTATTTTAAACACTTGAATTCATAATTGTATTTGTATAGTTATTTCCGCGATAAAGTGTCCTATGTCGATTCTAACGCCATAGCCATATGGGGCTGGTCTTATGGGGGATATGTGACTATAAAGGCATTGCAAGACGATTACAACGACCCTGTATTTAGCTGTGGTGTAGCGGTGGCGCCGGCAACCGATTGGATGTATTCTGGTTTGTGTTACATTCAAATCAATTGACTGATCAAATATTTAATATAATAAACAAATGTCTGATTCATCTCAGACTCAGTCATCTCAGACTCAGACTCAGACTCAGTCATCTCAGACTCAGACTCTATACTGAACGACATATGGGTTTCCCCACACCTGAAGACAATCTGCAAAACTATCGCTTGTCGTCGACATTGGATAACGTGAAGCGTTTGAATGGCAAACAGTTTCTTATTATATTTGCCACCGCAGATGGTAAATTATTAGGGTGACCAGGAGTTTAATGTAATTTTATTTAACCTAACATTGTTGTTTATGCTGAACGCATTTTAAAACGATAATTGAGAAAAACATGACATAAGAAATTAAAATTTATAACACACAAAAATATAGTGTCCTCCGCTGGGAATTAGCTTTTCAGTAAATGTCATCCAATTTACTAAAGTTTTCTTGTCACCCAATATTTAATACAAAACTAGTAATTTTTCATTCATTACTTAACTTATATGCAATTATCTATACAATCATTTACAGTAATTGTACACTCAATTGAAATAATGATGCTTTTGAAGGCTATGAATGAGGCGAATGTGAAATACCAAACACAGGTATATCCCGATCAGAGACACGGTTTGCAGCAATCAATGGCACACATGTATACACGAATGACCGACTTCTTTGACCAGTGTTTCAATCATAACATCAAACATAAATGATCGTAATATTTGACTTTTTCTAATCATTTTAGTTAATTTTATATTAGTTTATATATACAGTAGTTTATATATACTGTAATATAATCAACAAGTTTATTAAATTCTTAATAAATATTCCAAACTTTAATTGTAAGTAAAGTAACTTTCAAACAGAATTCGTATAGAAATATATAATAAAAGAGTGATTAAAAGTATAGAGTACTATATACTATTTATATAAAGGTATAATAAATTATTAATAAAATAAGAAAGAAAACTATCGATTGATTCAATAAGTTAATATTTGAATTAAGACTTGAATACAGCACTCAATTATCTAAACTTTGTTTGCATACAATTGTGTGAACCCTTGATATTAAAATGAGATTACACTGAATTACGGGCTATATTACACAATGCAAGATATTTATATCAAAATCTACCCTATGTATACTTTTGAAAAAGCGATTTTTGAATATTTTCTATATCTTTTAGCATAACCTGAATAATGGTTAGTCTTTGTCATTGCTGTGCAAACCTTGTTTATATTTCATTAATTGCTGTTTAAATACATTCTTAAGTAATGTAATAATTTGTTGTATAAATTCCTTCATTAGTTATTATTACATAATATTATACGATATGACAGTTAATATGGGTTTTAAATCAACAAATTTATCTCAATGTTTAATACGAGAGACATTTTTAATAACTTTTTTGATACCCATATTAACTCTGAGGTGATATGTGATATTTATGTCTTTATGAGTAATATTTTATTTTAAAATTAGTTTTTAATTATGTTTTAAAAATGTAATTTTAGTTTAAATGTACATAAAAAGGGGGTAAATTGTATTTCATATTAAAAGCACATAATAGTTATGTATTAAATCTTTGATAATGTGTTTTAAAAAATAGTTTTGAAAACAAACTTTTATACGGTTTTTAATGAAGGCTATAAAAATTATATATTTTATATCAGGTTTATATTAAAACCAACTAGTTTAGTCTAATTCTCTCTCAATAGATTCACTCCTGGAGTGGGTCTT